TCCTATACTTTACCTACAAATTGAGATTTTAGTATAAGTATATTATAGATGATAAGGCTAGCATAGAAGGACTAAAGTGAGATTGTGGTAAAAATATAAGGTTGCATCTTATAGTTTACCGTCAATCTCATTTGATCCGTTGAACTTTTAATTATCTCACTTAACTACTCTATTTTGGGTCAAGTTGCAATTAGGCTCAATCTTATAATAGCATTTGAAAAATTAACTCAAAAATTATCTTGGATGGGTTTGGCTTATAGATTTGGATAGAGATTTAGAAATCCAAATGGTAGGTGAAAATATAACTATATTTCATTTATATTTCACTCTTCTTTTTCTTTTTTTTTTTTTCTTTTTTTTAAATGTCTATCCAAATTGATGATCTAAAAGTGTGAGATTTTAGTAACGTACCTGGATCGTAAGAGCTAGAGTGGAAGGACTAAAGTGAGATTGCGGTAAAAATATAAGGGTGCAAAGTGTAATGAATATTTCTGTGATTATTCTCTATTTGTTTTGAAACGACGCTTGTATATGTGGGGCCAAATTATAACTTGATTCAAAGTCTAGGGATTGACCGGAACAATTAAAAGGTCAAGGGGAAAGTGAGATTGAAGGTTAAGTGTAGGGGTATAAACTGTAATTGATTCTTATGCCACTACTTGTTTGGATTATGGGAAAGCAAAGTAAAATTTCCGAATTTTTATGGGTTTTGAACTATGGAAAAAATAAAAACTTATTTTAACCAACCCAAATAGTACTGTGAACAACTTCTTGAATCAAATATTGAAATCCCATTTATGAATTGAATTTAGGATAAAATGTCATTTTTTATGCTTCTCTTTTAAACTTAACATTTACAAAAATTAGTCAATTTTCTGTGCAGTCAAATGTGGATGATCAAGAGCTTTTGACTGCAATGTCATTATTAGTTTTATTTTTTATTTTCTATTTTTTTTTTGAACCATAAAAATAGGCAATGCCATTGGGTTAGTTAGTATTTAGTTGCTCAATTGTGTTACCATTTCTTTGTATGAGTCAGTCATTGAACTAAAGTACCATATTGTTTTATTTTAATCTCTCTCTTTTTCACACACACACACACACACACACACACACACAGAGTTTTTTGTTAATTGGTTTTTATAGCCTGGCTTATCCTTTGCTTCCTCTCTTTTCTACAGGCATGTTTGGATTATGGGTTTTTCTATGTGATCAATCATGGAATCAGCCAGGAATTTATGGATGAGGTTTTTTACCAAAGCAAAAGTTTTTTTGATCTACCAGTTAGTGAGAAAATGAAGGTTCTTAGAAACAAGAAACGTCGAGGTTACACTCCCCTTTTCAATGACCGTTTGGATTCTGTCAATCAAATACATGGTTTGTTCAGCTATCATTTTTCAAGTGTCACACTACTTTTGAGCAATAAGCACAAAAGTGAATATCAGATCAATATGATGTTTTTTTTAATACAAGTTGACATCTATTGTATAGCTTGGTATGTGCATGACATGTATGTGTATATATATGTATATATTGTGCTTGTATGATCATGCCTGTCAAGAAGTGGCTTGAGTGCTAGGAAAATTAGACTTCCGCCTAACATCCCCACATAGTAAGAGGCCTCACTTTTATATAGTTTAATATGATAAATATAAATTTACAATCACACTAACTGTTAAAAAAGTAGGGATAGTTGTCTTAAATTTGCATTTGGAATTTTTGTACAAGATGATATCAATGTTTAAATTTGTTTTGGGAATTGAAAGTTTTAAATTAAGTTTTGCAAGCTAAAGGGAGCACTTCAATTGATATATTGAATAATTAAAGAAAACTAAAATTTCTAATGCATCCTTGATTATAAAATTTCCCCTCCCAAACACACATTAATGTGTACTAATTGGGCCTTGTTTTTTTTATTTATTTATCTATAACAGTTGCATTGCAAAGAAAAAAAAAATTAACATGGGTAAAGTTCAACCTAAGATTGATTAAGTCATAAGAAACAATAAGTGAACTACCCACAATATCAATTACAAATGATTTGTTAGAAAACTTGAATGTAATTTGTAATTTTGCATTTGAAAAGAAAAGAAAAATATATTTCAAATGAAAATCTTAAAAAGGCTTCATTTATGTTTTTTATGCCTTAGGCCTCGAACAAACTTGAGCCTATATGCATTCATATATGTTCTTGTTTACATAATTATATTGTTGCCTTCCTACTTTGAGATGCCACCCACATTGTTTTATTTTTTATATTGTCCCATTCTTTTCTTCTTCCAGTTGATCTATATTTCTTGATTTATTGTTGTTTAAATTTAAACTAATTATAATAGAGAGATCCTTGTTTCATAAAAAAGAAAAATATTGATTATCCTATTTTACGGATACAGGAGATTATAAGGAGGGATATTACATTGGAATAGAAGTACCTGAAAACGATCCTGACATAGAAAAGCTATTATACGGACCAAATGTCTGGCCCCCTTCTCGTAAGCTACAAAATCCATTCAAGTCTTAAGAAAGTGCGAAGTATGAGTAGTTCATGCCATGTCCCAATCATCTCTCTCTCTCTCTCTCTCTCTCTCTCTCTCTCTCTCTCACACACACACACACACACACACATCAGAGCTTAATTCAACTTGATGTGATTTAAGCATTTGAGCATTCTACGTGGTATTGGTTTTGTAATCAGTATTAACCCCTTTGGTCTTTTGGCCGTTTGAAAGATATCTTGCCTGGATGAAGGGAAACTATGGAGAAATATCATAGAGAGGCGCTGTAAGTTTTGTTCAAGTTTAATCTTTTTGTAATGAACTTCATATACTACTAGCAGATGTATTTGTTGCTTTGTATCAAACATTATAACTGTCCATGTAGCAAATAGAATTATCTTGTCTTGTTTTGGTGTCTAAGCAGAAATGCTGCATCATATTATTTTCTCATTTTTACCTAATATCAATACCCTATTGTCAATTTAAAAGTATTGCATTAGACTAATAAATCTTGGAAAATATCACATTATGGGAAGGATAACTTCATATCAAATATTGGAAGTTCTATATATACTAAAGAAAGTCTTAGGGATGTGAGCAAAGAGCATAGACTGAAGAACTGCAGAAGAGAACTCATACCTTTATCCCATCTGGTCTTGACGGCACAGTCTGGTGGGTCCTGCAAAGCTTGGTTGACGAGTTTGTCTGTTGTAATTATATGAGCTCATCCCTTGCCATGAAAATTTTATGGTGATGGATGATAATAATATTCTAAGACCATGAAGATTCATATTTATATATTTTCATTACGAAAACTTGGCATGTATTGCTTTTTAATCTATATTGTTCAGACTTTTTAACTTCAATTCTTACATGTTTTCCCAATCACTCTAAGATCTTTTATATTTTGATACATTTTTGGTGATGCAAATTAGCATAAAATATGCTGCATAACTTGAGGAATAATAACAAAGAATTAGGTTGAGTGAATTGTTTTAGCCACTGAGGTATATTTCTAAACACCATTGTTAAATTGGGACATGTATAAAACCAATCCGGATAGTTGTTCTATTGGGAGTTGTTCTCCTTTCCCACTAGAAATTCATTTGTAAAAAAATAGCAATTACGTATCATTCCATTTAAGCCTTGTGACTTGTTCAGCCATGATTTCATGCTTTCAGTTTTATATATATGACATTTTTCATATGATTGTTTATATGCGTGCTAGTGAGGTGGCAAAAGCAATTTCAAGGATCATAGCTCTTGCACTTAACCTCGAGGTTGACTTTTTTGATAGACAAGAAATGCTTGGGAAGCCTACACTATGAAGGTGAAAATTAAATTGAAGATCATGAAATTTTAATGTAATTGATGTCACCTGTATCATGACAAGTGTTTGGTTATTCTTCAGGTAGAGTTTTTGATTCGATGAAGGGAATATGCGGAGCAGGTGCACATTCTGATTTTGGTTTGATAACGCTCTTGGCAACAGATGATGTCTATGGTCTCCAAGTACTGATATAGTTAAGAATTTGAATTGTATTTCTAATATATTTTGTGAGAAAGGGATTGTGATTTCTATTTATTACAGATATGCAAGGATAAGGATGCTAAACCTCAGAAGTGGGAATTTGTAGCACCATTAAAAGGGTTAGTAAATAGAATCTTCAGAGACTTGATTGGTTCCAAAGGCACTGCCTAGGATTGGTTTTCAGTTATCAAAAAATAAAAGGAAGAAAACTTTACATAATTCTGGACAATATTAGACACCTTTATTGGAGCTAGTGTAAGTTTTCTACATGCTTTTGTGATCATGCGCTGAGGTTAAATGAAAGGGACCATGTATTACATTTAGATGCTACAATTTGACGTAAAATGAATCTTTTACTATATTATTAGCATTTTCTTATTGTCTTGATGTTTGAAATCTAACTTTCAGAGCATTTATAGTGAATCTTGGTGACATGCTAGAGCGCTGGAGCAACTGTATTTTCAGGTAATGTACATTTACCAAAGTTCCTAAATGATGGTTTTGTAGCTTCATGACAATCATTCGGATTATTATTATTATTATTATTATTATTATTATTATTATTATTATTATTATTATTCAGTTGTTTATTGTGAGATAATATTGAGTACAATATGGGACATTGCCTTCTTTAGAGCAAAAATTCCAGAACAATAATTTCTCATTGCCACCACCATGAATGCCAATTTTTCTAGTATGTGGTTTGAGTGTTGGGATTATAATTTTATGGTACTTGGGTATCTGTGTTCACTTGCTTAATTTTATCCAGGTCCACGTTGCATCGAGTGCTGGGTAATGGTCAGAAGAGATATTCTGTAAGGCCCCTTTAGAAGCTTTTGAAAGTTCCCTAATTGCATAGCCTACAAGGGATGTTGATAATGAAAAGTTTGCCTTCTTATGCAATATTATCGTCTAACATACACAATGGCCCTTTTTGTTTTTTTGCTTTCATTTTATTCGATTTATTTATTATTATTATTTTTTCAATGAGCAGATTGCATATTTTGTGGACCTAGTCACGATTGTCTTGTTGAATGCTTGCCCACCTGCCAGTCGCAAGATAACCCTCCCAAGTAAGTATCAATTGAACAGGGATAAACTGTTCATACCTGCATTGATCTAAGTATGAAGACATATTAACCATTGATAACTGCAACTAATCTGAGTACACATGATCACAAATTAATTATCACCCACACAATGACGTGAGGACCATTAACGTCATAATTACGTGCAACATATGTGGACAAGTGGGAACCTCTAATTGTACTCCAAAACAATGGTTGGATCCCCCTTCCTTTGTACACCCCATTCTCGAATTTAAATTTTGTTGATTTTCTTTGAACACCCCAATTAATTCCCACCGTACCCGCACCCATCCAACCTATTGGCCAGCCACCCAGCGCACCAGTGCCACCTCCACCACCCCTTCCTTTCCCTCCCCTTCTCTCCCCACCGCCTGCTGCCCCCTCCCCGTGCTCTCCAATACCCCCCTCTCCTTTCTTCTTGATGCCCCCCACCTCTCTGCAACACCCCACAGCCCTCCCCTGATCTTTTTCTCAAACCCTAATCCCAACCACATCACCCACCATCGTCAAGGAAGAGATAGAGAAAATGGGTAGGAGGTGGGCAATAGGGGGGAGCCATGGGGGAGTTGCTTAAGTGGGGGGAGGAAAGAGGAGATGGAGTAGATGAGCCTTCAAGGTGGTACCGAGGATGGGTAGGGGGCTAGGGGACACGGGAGGGTCTAGCCGGAGCTGGTTTAGGGTTGTCTTTTTTTTGTAATTTGACATAGAGGTAAAATGGTATTAAAAAAGGGGAAAAATTCACTTTTACTCTTTGTGGTTTGAGTTTTGGGCACTTTACCTATCTGTGATTCAAATATAGATGGTTTAATTAATAAAATTTGTGATTAATTTAAGATTAAGTGCATAATATCATAGATAAAGAGGATTAACGTTAACGGATGTTAGATTGCAATTTAGTCCAAACCATAATGGGGCAAATATGCCTGTATTTAAATCACATGTGGGTAAAGTGATCCGGCCTCAAACGATAAGGGGATAAAGTGAAATTTGAAAAAAATACCGAATTTGGGATGTCCAACAATATCTTTGGGATGCATTTAAAGGCTCCCTGGATAACTAAGCTGGTGTCTAATTAAAATTTAAAAGCTTTTTGCATTAATAAAAATGCATAAAGGATATGCTTGGCTTCTTTGTTTTCGTGAAGTTTCTCTATTTTTTACTGCTTCTTTTCCACCAGGTTTCCTCCTATCAAATGTGAAACTTACATGCTCCAGCGGTACAAGGATACTCATGCTGTTCTCGAGTCATACGAAAAATGATTCACCAAACTTTGTTGTCAATATTACTGGGATTTTCGCTTCAAGTGTAGAACACAGAGGTTAGCTCCTTCCTGCCACAATTTGTATGGAAACAGGTTCTCTTAGTTGAATATTGGAGAAATATCATGTAATCTTTTTTTGGTTGCAAATGTAATGTTGATATATATGTAAAACATGTAGGAGAATATGCAAAATATTTATTAAAATTTTAACTTTTTTTGTTTATTTTATTTTTACATTATTTGATCAATTGCAGGATTTTTATTTTGTATGCTACATTTACATTTGAAAGAGTTCACAAAGCAAATAATTAGGTTATGTTGTGTATTGTGGATAAAATAAGTTTTCACTATGGACCTATATTTGGTTAATATATATGTTCCATTAATTTGACATTTGATTAATGGTTGTAATTGCCACAAGTTGCACTACTGTTTGGTAATGTTTTTGTTTTTAATTTTTATTTTTATTTTCTGGAAAATGAAAAATAAATATTTTTGCAAATTATTTATTACTGGAAATGATTTTTGTGAAAATTTTCTAAAAACAATTCACTTTGAAAAAAAATTAAAGTGACTATGTATCCCATCATGTGTTTTATAGGTTATCCGTGTAATTTTCATTCAGATATGACTTATCTCCATGTGAATTGAACCACATCGTTGTCTCATTTGGGCTCACCATATTCTTATTTTGAGTGTGTTTTGAATCTGTCCAACTGTTATTTCTCCTATTCCAGTGGCTATATTTGCTCTCCGATGGTCAAATGAAGATGAGGGATTATAAATAGAAAATCTACATTCATCTACAAGTGAGAGAGAGGATAATCTCCAAAGAGGAGAAAATAAAATAATTTTATACTGTAACTTTCATTTCATCTCTATGAGCTTTAATCGTTTAAATCCAACTCTTTAGGAGTTTATCGTACAAAATGCTTTACGCATTTTTTTTAATCTACAAATCATCTATAAATGGTTGTTATACCCATGAGCTTCATTGTGAGTGTTTGAGAGAGAAACACTTGAGAGATTTGATAACACCAAAAAGTGGGTTGTTTTGGTGAGTTTGTTTTTTGGGATTTTTGGAACAAAATTATTGTTGTAAAAGTCTTGCAAGTTTCCGGTAAACTTGCTGGTGTAAATCTATTAGATGAATAGTGAAAATACTCGAAGGAGAGTCTTGAGGAGTGGATGTAAACTTGGATGGAAACCGAATCACTATAAATCTTGTGTTTGCCTTCTCTCTCTATCTCTCCTTTATATTTATAATTGCTGCTTTGTTGTGCTTTGACTTGATTTGCTCACACACATTATTGCTCATATTTTATATATTCATTCTTTTATTTTACTTGAGCAAGTTAATTTTATTGAATTATTTTATTTTAAGTTATATTTATCAACTTAATTTCCCCTCATGTGTTGTCAACGTGGTGCAACACTATGAAAAAAAGTTCAACCTTGCTCTGTTTGTTACATATATAAGCAAGTTCAAATTAAATTTTTAGGCTTGTTTAATAAACCCAATAAGAGCTCAACTATGCTTGTTACATATATAAGTGAGGTCAAATTAAATTTTTAGGCTTGTTTAACAAATTCAGTAAGAATTCAACTCTGCTCAGTTTATTACATATATAAACAATGTCAAACCAATCTTTTGAGCTCATTTAATAAATGAATCACTCAAGGTTCAAGTCAATTTTTTTTCTTCATTATTGAGTTTCAAACCAAACTTGAGCATAACTTCATTATTAAGTTTCAAACCAAAATCGTTCATTATTGAGTTTCAAACCAAACTTTAGCATTTTTCTTCATTATTAAGTTTCAAACCAAACTCGAATATAATTAATATTAAGGAACTGAGCTAGGCTCAAGCATTAATTAGTATAAATATTCAAGCTCAACTCAAACTTTTCTTTTTTGAGCTAGATAAACAAACCAGGTCAGCTCGGCTCATTTGCCACACTGGCCACTAAGAACTCACAACTATGAACTGAGCTGAGCTCAAGCATTAATTACTATAAATATTCAAGCTCAACTCAAACTTTTCTTTTTTGAGCTTGATAGACAAACGAGCTCAGCTCAGCTCATTTGCCACACTGGCCACTAAGAACTAACAAAGACAAATAGGTCAATGGGGGAAGATACAATTTAACTTTGGGCCAAAGAACACGGGGATTGATTTATTAAAAAACACTGTATTTTATTACAATTACACGTAGAATGCAGTTAGGCTGAAAATCTTTTGTCCAGCTCTGTCGCTCTCTCATATCCTTCTGTTTCGAACTCTCTCTATCATATGATTCAAGTGAAGCTTAGCATCAAAAGTTAGTAATACATCTTGAGAATGACAAGCTCGGCAAGCTTGGCATTCCAAATCCTCAATTGAGGCAAGTGGTTGATTCTACAAGTACCACCGCATCGGATGCTTCACAGGTCAGTCTAAATTTCTTCATATTTCCACAGCTTTTGTGACTTCACAGAGACTACTAAACTGGTAGTGAGTAGCAAGTAGAGATTGAAGTTGACAATGTTTAAACTAAAACCAACCTTTCATCCAACCCAACTCTTACTGTCATGGTTCTAATATAAACTCTAAAGCTTACAACACCACAAAAGTTCCGAAACACCATGATTGGAATGTAGAGGGAAAATGAGAGACACCAAACAAGAATATATAAGACTCCGAAGAAACACACTACATTAACTACTAGCCATAGTTTCTGCTCACAATTAAACAATTCATCGGAAGCTTCTGTAATTGGGAGTATACATGCAGCTTTCAGCGTACTTCACCAGAATATCAGGCCGAGGGAGACGCGTTGTGAACCCTAGGAAACATTGTGAAAGTCATAAAAATAAACATGCTTCAAGGGGCAATTACAGCAGAGGTAAGACACATGAAGCAACCAAAGGTACACTTACTAACTCACCAGGTTTATATGCTTTAGCAGCCACATTAGAAGCAATGTGGCCAGAGATCTTTCTGATATTAGAGAATGGTGGATAGATCAAACCCTTGTCCAAATTCTCTTTTGTTACTTGCTCAGCCAAAGCCTCTGTTGTTACAAAGGAAAGTAAATGATTTACATACAAAGGTTAACCATTCTATCTATTTGTCGTGCCTGTCGCCTAGAATTGCAATTTAATAGGTTTCACCAAAAGTTTTCTGTAGTGCTTCACACATGATTATGGGCAACCCAGTGTAAAAAACTTATGTTAAAAGGATATCTAGAGAGGGCAAGATGTACAGAGACTGTTTCAATGACTTGAACCTGCGCCACCAGGGACACTAATGGCAAATCGCCCTTACAGAACTAGATCACACATCAAGGGAATAAAACAAACACAAGGTGTTTTTTGAGTTTACATTCTATTGGAATCTGAGTAAACATCTCAGAACTTTTTCTAAAGAGAGTCTATTCATTATTTATGACTTGCATAGCTATGTGACCAGGGGAAAGGGAAAAAAATAATAAAGCATAAGTAAAATGAAATAAATTAAAGGAATGAATTCCTTGCTCTTCAACTAGCAAGTAAATTGTATTCAACTTATAATGTATCTAATTATGTTATATGTAGTGTACTTACAGGCTGCTAGAAGCATTTCATCATGTACACGAATTGCACCAGAGATGACCAAACCCAAACCGAATCCAGGGAAAACATATGCATTATTTGCCTGAATGGATCACAAAAGAAAGAAGAAAGAAGAAAATGCCATCAAAATCAGTTTTTAGAATCCATCTCAGATGTATTAAGGATTTTATACCAAAAAACTAGAAGTACAAAGTAAAAGACCCTGGCCAGGTACAAAGACTTTGCCGTTGTATTCCATAGGGTCAAATGGACTTCCACTGGCAAAAATTGCATGTCCCTTTTTTTAGAACAGAGAAATTTATTAGTTTTACATTTAAATCCAATCAGACATTACTTTGCATTAAAGCATCAAATTATAGGATAAGAAAAAATACATAATTTATATTTACCTGACTCCAGTGTAAGCTTCTTCAGCTATGCACACAGATTGCGAGGATGGGTTGGAGAGAGCCATAATGAGAGGTTTCTGCATGCCATTCATTTAAACTCTTGCAAGAAAATTTTGTATAGAGAGAGAGAGAGAAAGAGAGAGAGAGAGTAGCTCCTTGAAGGAGGTCATGGCCTTGATCACCTCTTTTGTAAATGTTCTTTCCACTCCAGATGAACCAATTAAAACTGTCGGCTTGATAGCCTGATGATATTTGAAAATGAAATACAGTCCAACAATCACTGAGAACTATCTTCTTATAATAAAATCTAGACACAAAGGGAATGCATCAAACCTTGACAGCATCTAAAAGATCCTTAACGGGTTCATGTTCAGGAGCCCAAGGTTATGATTAATCCCTGCAACAGAAATCACATGCTATGATTAATGCAAGACACAAGTGCCAAAAAAGGTAAAAGTGGAAACAAAATAAAAATATGAATAGTCATGATCGACTAAATATCCATCATTTAGCAAGGAACCTTCACTAGACTTTTCACTACCTTTGAGTCCACAAGCCAGATCTTCTTATGCATCTCTTCCAAAGGAGCTTCGGTCTATTAACAGACAATAAAATAAGAGAATCACCAAGCAATCGTGAGAATATATATTGTATATATGGTATGATTGTGTAAGAATAGGAATCTTTGTATTTCCTTTTTCATTTAGGCTATATAAATCGATGACCTCTTTGTAAACAATACACAATTGAATATACGAATTCTTTTAGAATACTTTCATGGTATCAGAGCCGTGTTCGTAACCTTAGCGCTGTTATCTTCCTCAGTTGTCTCTAATCAGTTCTGTGCTCGCAAACCCTATCACCGTCATCTGCCTCAGCCGTCAGTCTGTGTGATCACGAGCCCTAGCCGTCAGTCTATGTGTTCGCCAGCCCTAGCACGGTCGTCTCCCTCAGCCCTTTCTGCTGAGTCTTGTCGTTGCATCGTCGTCGTCTCCCTCAGTCATTTGCTTCGCCTCGTCTCATCTCGGATTACATTGTCGCGACCATTGTATCTCTCTCTCTCTCTCTCTTCTCGTGTAGCCTGGTTTGTTTGGGGTTAATAAACTCAAAATTTATTTTAGATTTATTATTGTTTGACCCAACCCCTTCTTAATATTATAATTCTATAACCCTTGTTTCATTATAATGTTGGACACTAAAACCCAAGCTATTAAGTGCAAACTC